CTCTGCCTACTGGTGTGTGGGATTATCTTCGATTGAGATAAAGCGGTCCTTTAGTTTAAATAGAAAAAACTTGGAAAGAAAGCTTGTTGTTCTTTCAAATACTTATCAATAAAATTCATGTATGTGTGTGGCAGGTTCATCAGTTTTGCCAGCATGTCTTCCTGACCCAGGGGAAAAGTTTGAAGCAGGATATATCTGCACTGCTTGTGGTTGGGGCCGTTTAAATGAGAGTAAGCTACTCAAGTTGTTCTTTGACATTCAGGTTTTTCATTGTCTTATTTTTGAAGGTAAGAGCTTGATTGAATTGGCCATAGACCAGAAAAAAAAAAATCAACTTGTCATAAGAATTGTAATCTCAAAATGAGATCTTTTCTACCTTCTATGCCTACCTGTGAATTGCCTCAAAATAAATTGCTACAATATATACACCTGTGTTTCTATTTTGAAACATTTTGAAGTTTATTCAAGTAAAACTGCTTATATACACAAAATTAGATGTTTATGTAACCATAAGATAGCTTGGAGCAAGTTTACAACTTTTTTTTTTATTTTTTTGGTGTATTACCAGTGACATTAAGTTCATCTTTCAGCATTTGTTACGAAGAACTTTTTTGTGTTTCAGATGGATTACTCCCTCAGGTCTTATATGAAGTCAATCTACCAATCCTAAACAGTAAGGAATGTTCAAGAGCATTATCAACTTTAAAGAAACCCATTCAAGGTGACACTGTAATGTGTGCTGGATTTCCAGATGGAGGAAAAGATGCCTGTCAGGTCAGCTCAGCAGAGGGCCTTGTGCACTCACAGATGTTTCTCAGAAGCTCAAGGCTCTGTGTGCCTAAGTGAAAAAATACACTGTAAAATGCAATATTTGGAGTGTATTTATTTTGATATGTGAATTCTTTCAAAGGTTCTGTATGGGGTGATGCACTTAATTACATAATTCCATCTTAATTATTGTGTGAGTTGTACGGCATGTTCCTGAGAGGAATTTGGCAATGTATCCCCATGCTATAATGCTTTGGGCTTTTTAACTTCTGAACGCTTGATAGCTTAATTAGTTAATGTTGCTAAGGTCCTAAGGAGGAAAGTAGAGAGTCTTGCCTTGGATTACAGGAAGAAAAGTAAGTGAGGTAAAGGTTAAGTGATTGTTCCTTGTCAGGGGAGTAAAAAAACCCAAACTCCTCACTCCTTTTTACATGCTAAAACACAACAGGTCTGCACCCATCAAGGACTTAGGCTCTCTCTCCCTGTCTTGACAATACTGACTAAAGACAATAAAAAAGATGTCTTTCTTCACAGTTGGTTTTTTTTTTTTAATTGCTATTCCCTGTGTTGCATGTTTATTAGTACAGCACAAAAGAAAGCTCAGTATACTCTGTGAGGCTTGCTCAGTGGTATGCACCAATTTTTGTAAGCTGTGGGTTGTGGGCTTTTGCTTGTGTTTTAAAGGGAGACTCAGGAGGCCCTCTTTTGTGCCGACGCAAGCACGGTGCCTGGACTCTCGCTGGTGTGATCTCCTGGGGCATGGGATGTGCTCGTGGCTGGATAAATAATGAGAAGAAGAAACACTACAACAGAGGATCTCCAGGAATATTCACAGACCTCAGTGCAGTGCTTTCCTGGATTCAAGAGAACATGGGTGCTGGTATTGAGTCTCCACAGTAATGTGTCCCTCACTTTTCACAACTCTTCTGTCTCATAACAATATTTCATTTAATTTTATCTTTTTCAAGGTATAGCACTTATATTTTCCCCATTTTTCCTGGAAAAGCAATACAGCATTTCACAATGCCTTTAAGTATATGCTACTGATTGGCAGTTGCCAAAAACGAATTGAGAGCATTGTAAATGTTTGCTTCTCTTCCACTTTGCCTCCTACTTGGACTATATGTGTGTGTATATAGAATATATATATTTTTTTTTAATTTTAAGAATGGTCCTTTTATCCAGCTAGCCTGTTAGCCTGGTGGTTTTGATTTTCAGTGGATATTCACTGGTCTGAAATTCCATATGTACCTCTTTGAAGTCACTTGTCATTTTTCTCAGCTAAAAAGTGATGGATTGGACATTTGACTACATGGGGGAAAGTCATGCTCTCAGAAGCTCTCTGTTCAAAAGGCTGCATATACCCCCTGTACAGGGGAACAGCATGAAAATTATCCATCACTTCCAAATTCATGGAGCTGGAGATATAAATGACAGTCTGTTCATGGGTGAACTCAGAGCATGAAGAAACTGAATTAATATTTTCTTCTGGTTTGGGCTTTTTTTGTTGTTTAAAAGTATTGGAGATTGTGTCAAAACTACATGGGGGAAAGTCATGCTCTCAGAAGCATTCTGTTCAAAAGGCTGCATGTGCCCCCTGTACAGGGGAACTGCATGAAAATGATCCATCACTTCCAAATTCATGGAGCTGGAGATATAAATGACAGTCTGTTCATGGGTGAACTCAGAGCATGAAGAAACTGAATTAATATTTTCTTCTGGTTTGGGCTTTTTTTGTTGTTTAAAAGTATTGGAGATTGTGTCAAAATTTACACAGAGAACTGAAAAACTGAGGAGTGTGTAAGAGGTTTTGCTAGTCAATGGAAAGAAAAGAAATTGCAAGGGAAAAAAAGAAACCTTTCCCATTAGAAACCAAGTTCAACTGGTGATTGAAAAAAGATATCCTCATAATGTTGAAGAAAAATGAAAATGGCTCAGCTTCTGAAAAATATTTTGGTTTTCAATTTATAAACAAAAAATAAAAAAAAGAGAGACAGGATCTTTTTATTAAAAATTTACTAGTTTTTTTTACTAGCCCATTTTATTATCAGGAAAAAATAATATGATTTGCTATTGTGATAATTAAAGTGTGTTGGCTCCAGTGAACAGCAAAAGTGATATGGTGAGTAAAGTGAAAACACAATTTTCAGTTGCATTGCACTAAGTTCTGCTTGCTCACTCTTTTATACTGTTACACTGGTGCAAAAGATCTTAACTGTAATTGCTGTCAGGGTTACTTTCTCTGTACCCCTGACATGACACCAGCACTTGGATTACGCTACCCTTACCTGAAATGTACAGTATTTACTTAAAAAGTATGTAGAAAAAGAGTACTGTGCTTCTCAGGCTGAGCAGTGGCCTATCAATGTATGATTAATTCTTGAAGTGGCTTCTCCAGAATTGTTTATTCCAAAGTTGGCATTGCCTGAAGTTGCAATTTTATTTTACTTCTAAGCCTAGTTTATGTAGGCATTATGTCCCCAAGAAGCATTTGAATTTGCCTCAGTGATAGCTGTATAAAATTACCATTTCACACGTATAAAAATGAAGCCTACGTTGTGAATATGAAACTACAGTAATTTATTCTTCTTTTTCCACCCCCTTTCCCTATCCCTTCTTTATTAGATCTGAAAATGAAAAGCTCCACTGGTGAGTACAGGTTTTTTTCAGTATCTTCTATCTGGTTTAGAGCATAAAAAGACCTCCAAATAGTCTGACATATCATTTATGAAGAGAGAAATGAAATGTGAATAAGCTTGACTCATCAAAGCACTTTTAAATGTATGCTTTAAATATATACTTTTTTACTTCTGGTTCTGTAAAAAGAAAAAAAAATACCTATGTAGGGTTGTACTTATGTACTGGTGACTTCAAAAAGGAATTTTCCTTAAGACAGCTACATATATAAAGCCATATTTTTATTGAAATGCAAGTAAAATTAATGGGAAAAATGTAGAACAGAACCTCAAGCAATGCATGAAACCTCGTAAGTGAAGCTGGTTCTATATAAAAATATAGATTCTAAATAGAAAGTATGAGGTAAATTAGTAGGACTTTTGCACAGGCTATGATTAATCCATCTACTTGTCTGATGTCTATTTCTATGAATAAAATGTGAAAGAAACACACTGTGAAACCCAACCTGGAATGTGACATGTTATAAAATTGAAGTCTTACTTTGATTCTGCCATGTTTATGTTCTTTTTGGGCACTCTGTTCATCTAGGTACAAGTTCACAAAAAGATACTAGAAATGAACCTTGTGAAGTAGATATTAAAATTTTAATTTTAGTAATCTAGAATGAGATTTCTCAGATGATAAACCAGCACATGGCCAGTTTGCATAGACTTGCTGTTGCCAGTGAGAATTGTGTATTTAAGTGCTGTTTGTGTATTTTTGAAAATTTTTACTGTTTTTCCTAGGACACTTCAGGTAAGATAATCTTATAAGTACCTGACTCCTTCAATTTGTTTTCATATACATGTTGTTGACAAATTTCTTACGGCTTATCTTGCAAGGAGAAGGAAAGGCAAAAGGAGACAATTTTTGTAAGTAATTTTGTTTCTAGTGACACTTATCTGGAGAGGAAAGCTTCTGCTTCTTCTATTTAAGTGTCTTTGATACTATATTGTACTGTTGCAAAAGTCTCCTGCTATAGCATAGCTAAGGACATTATTACAAATGGGCTGCAGTGAACACTTTTCTTATGTCCTGAGGTATGCATTTTTCCTCCCTGAAAAACATTTATACTGAAATTCTCATTTAACAAAGAGTTTCTTTAAGGTAAAAGCAAACACTGCCATTTGTGCAATAAAATATCATAGCGTGTTTGCAGTGCTTCATTTTTGCTCCCAAATGACATGTTTTAAAATGGGCTTACCACAGTTGCAAATGAGAGAGAGAAGACCCAGCATCATTTTGCCAGCAGAAACAGTATTCTCTGGATGTTTGTGCTTTTGGGTGGAACAGATGATCACATAGATGTCAAACCTGATTCCTTCTGTTTTGTTTTAACTCTACAATGCAGCGTTTTGTAGCATTCAGGATGGCAAACTCCCTGACAGTGAAGGAGAGTTACATTTTCCTGGCAGTCCCAAACAGTTCTATCAAAACCACCAGTAAGTAGACAAAACACAGTCTTTCCCCAGAAGCTGTTCCCTATACCGCTGTAGTTGGGGTTTTGTTGCAGTTTTATGAATGGGAACTAATTTATTATTCCAGATTGTGTGTATGGACTCTATTTGTACCAGAAGGGAATTATATATTGCTTCAGTTTTCCCGCTTTGATATAGAGCCAGAAACATTCTGTGACTATGATTCTTTATCAGTCTATTCAAAAGAGGATAGACTTGTTGGTGAGTTGCTGTCCCCTTATTCTTTGAAATAATCTGTCGGTGTGCTCTTTCATTCCAGTGGCAAGCACACCTAATGACGACATTGTGGTTGATTATGTTTTAATTACCTTTTCATGATGAATACATTGTGACATACAATCTAAAATAAAAGACAAAGAGTGTGGGAGGAGTGAAAATGGAAAATGCGTGGTAGGGAACCGTGTCAGTATAAGACTTTCTGGTGTCAAGGATTTTCAATTTTTAGTAGCGTGCATTTATTTAGGCTAATGGATTAATAGGGAGTGTAAAGGAATGAATAGGCAATTTCCTTTTAATCCTAAAATTTTTATAGCTAAGTGCTAAAAATGGTATATGCAAGTTTTCTCAAGTGACTAAAGATTTTAAACAGTGATTATTGTCTTATGTTTCAGGGAAATTCTGTGGGGGAGATCTTCCATTACCTATTTTGGTTGGCTCCAATAGTATAAGGCTGAAATTTGTTTCTGACAACAAGGATTATGGAACTGGTTTTTCCATGACCTACAAAGCGCTTACACCAGATATTCTTCCTGGTAAGTCTAAGTCTAGTAACATACCTGTCTGCATTCTTGGGTGGTGACCTGAAAAAAAATTTCAGGAGAAAATAAATTGGAGGAAGCTCCTATGATTTTTATATGTGGATGGTGTTAGGAACAAAGTAAGTGTGGTTAGGCTGCCTTGGGACATTGTGGAGAAACTGGGATGCCAAAGAGATAGGATAGATGCTGTTGAGAGAAGCCCTTCTTTAACTTTGCCTCTTCTCTCATCCACTTTATATAGGATCTCATTTCCTTCCCTACTTCCAGAATGTTTTAGAAGTCAATAAAATCAGTCGAATGAGCAGGATTTCCAGATGAAAGCTGCTTTGCCAGTCCTAAGCATACATTCCTGGAGTGGCCCTGAGGGAGGCAGCTAAAGCTAAGATTTGTGGAGAATTTTTCCAGTTTTGCAGTGCAGAGTGGTTCACCATTCCTGGGGAGCCACCCAAGGACCTTCTGCTGTGTCTGGACAATCTGGTTACAGACAGACACCTGTTGTTCCTGTTTCTGCAGCTTTTCCAGCTAGTTTCTTTCCTTGGCAGAGTGTAAGGGCAGAGTGTAGAGAGGAGTCCCCTCTGAGAGGCTTTGCCACTGCATAACCCATCAGGAGGACGTTCTCTGATTGTGTTTTATGTCCAAAGAAAGTTGGCAGATGTTCTGACATGCCTGAATCCCACTCTTTGATCACCCCCCACAGGTGCCTGTGCCTGGAGTGCACTGCCTGTGGCTGAAGGGAATGCTATAGTCATGGGTTGAATTGCTTTTCTGCCTGGGAACAGACTAAAAATTGTCTTTGCATCTTTTTCAAACAGAAGGACTTGGCTTGCTGCTTTTGTCCTGTTCTCTTTCTCAGCTGTGTGAAAACATCACAAGAGTTTTTCTGGACTTACCTTTTTTTTTTGTGTGTGTGTGTGAATGATTTAATAGGAAATCACAGTGCCTCCGTTTTTGTTTTCCTGGATTTCTAGATTCTGGCTGTGAGTCCTCAGCTGTCCTTTTTGAAGAAGGAGTGTTACAAAGTCTGCACTATCCAGAGCACTACAGCAACATGGCAGACTGTCAATGGATTATCTGTGCACCGCAGGACCATGTAATCAAGGTATAATATGAGCCCTCCTTGTGCCTACAGAATGGAAGTGGGCACCATTGAGTTAACAAGAAATTATGCAGCTAAGGACAAGCAAGATCAAGTAACATAAACTTAAGTAATGCTGCTGGATGTAGTTAAGAGAAATCACTTTCCATCCCAAAAGCCCAGAGAGGTTTTGATTTCTCCTTTAGGTTATAGGAAAATGGGATTTTTCTGGTTTAAACTTATCATTACAGATTCCTCTAGCAAATGTAATGTTACATTTATCACAGGTATCACCTGTGAGAGGTGTGAATGTCAGAAACCAAACCCTAAAGAATCATTGAGAATACTGAAGACCCTACTATAGATCTTTGATTTTTTTCTGTGTGAATTTAACAACAAGGTTCAGTTTTTCATTTTTTATTTAAAGCTTACATACCAGTCTTTTGAAGTGGAAGAGAGTGAAGATTGCTCTTACGATGCCGTGACTGTTTATGAAGACGTGAGAAAAGAGGAGGAAATCGGTTTGATTTTTTATTTTTGACATATTTTGGGGATGACCTATTTCTTCTATGACTTTCACTAGCCCTGTTTTACAGTCTAAAATTGAGTTCACCTCTAGAGTCTCGGGTGATGTTATAGGTGCTAGTTTCAGTACCTTGAAAAATACTTGCAGGTATTGCTGCTTCTGTTCCACTTAGAGAGGCAAAGCCACATTGAACAGACCAGTTTTGTATACTTAAGTTCTGTATGAAATGCAGTTCTGAATTCATGTAAATTAAGAAAAAGGCAGGACACAATAATTTTGTTATATATTAATGATGGGACACAGAAAGCACCCAAGAGATCACCTTTTTGGAGTCCAGTTGTTCTTTACTCCAGATGAGCATCCCTGAAATTCTTGCCGCCTTGCTGGAGACTCCCCTGGCTTCCATTGAACGAGAGGGAGACCTGTCCCAGACACCTGATTTTAGCACTTGCTTGATGCTGGTGCTGAAACACTAACAAGGGGAAATCAAGTTTACAGTGTGTTCTGTGTGTAATGGCAACCTACAAAGATGGGTGCTGCACCAGTGTCTTGTGAAATAACGCAAGGGTCACTTTGCTCTTCTGAGATGATTACTGACCAAGGACAGACTGACCGGAATTATAGATCAGTCCTTCAGCTTCAGTCTGCTTATCTCTTCTCTTGTGCATAGTTGTTTCTTACCCTGCTGTGTGAGAGCTGGAATACATAGAATATTGGGTGCCCACTTTTGAAAGAGATAAGGATGAAAAAGTATATGTTAAACGCAGTGAACCTTTTCTTTCTCCTCTTTAGCCAAGTCTTGTGGATTTGCCTTACCAGCACCTGTTCTAAGCTCTTCTGCTATGATGCTGATCGTCTTTCACTCCGATGAAACAGAGACCTTTGGAGGATTCAGAGCTACAATCTCTTTTGTTCATGTAAAAGGTAATAGAGGTAACTTGGGAGGCTGCCTCTTTGGGGCAGCACGAAGGGCTCTTCAGAGTTATTTTGCTCTAGGAGATTCTCGTCTAATAGTTTCAGTGCAAAAACTGTGTTGTGAGTCTATTAAGGCTTTAAACCAAGGGCTTATTGAGTGGGTAAAGAGAAACAGTGAATCTCCCTAAAATCTCAGAGTTTTGTTTTGTATAAGAGTATTTTGGTGCATTTTAAATAGCACTTTACAACCATGTGAAGATGTAATAGCACAGATCCCTTCTGTAAAAATCTATTCCTTCTACTATTCTACCTTATCCTATTGTAATAAGGGAAATAAAAGTGATTTTGTAATACAATTATCACTCAATTGATATGGCTGCTAACACATTTCCTATTTTAATTTGCTAGATTTAGAAACTTTGGATTCAACTCCTGAAGAACAATTTGAAGATATGGATATAACTGAAGAAGAAATACAGGTTACAACAGGTAAGCCAACCTGAGTTATATTTTCTTCATGGGAATAGGGAGTACCTTTTGGACTATAATTGAAATGGTATTTTCTCCATGTACTTAATGTATGCAGTCTGAGTTGTCCAAGAAATTTTCATGAAGATATTTAGAAGAAATAAAAACAAATAGTAACACTTCTATGCTTTAGCTTTAGAATAGCAGAAACTAATTTCTTTTTGTTTCCTTTGTCTTTTTAAGTCATTTACAGCAATGCAATGACATTATTTCAGCTTGTATGTCAGTTTACACCTACTTGCTTCAGCAAAAATAATTGCAAAGAGTACAGGATAGTTGAAAATAACAAACAGTATTTTAGAACTTTCCTTTTCCCTTCCAGTACTTTATGGAGAGCCAGGTGAGTCTATATTCATTGTAGGTTTAAGGCTAAAACTTTTGAAGGAAAGCAGTTGATTTCATTTTGGTGAAGCTCTGTTTTTGCTAAGATCCATCTCCTCATGCTATCTCTAAACGTTTGGAACCTTTATAATGAAAGAAATTGAAAGATTTAGCAAACAAAGGGAGAGGGGAAGCCTGAGGAGTTTTGGGGTAGCTCTTAAATGGGCTGTTCTTTGCTTCAAATCTTAACCTCTAAAAACTTTCTGAGTCATCAGTGTTTTCTGTTTCAGACGATATTTGTGGAATGCCTTCAAATCAGCCCAGGTTCATCTTCAGTAGGATAATTGGAGGTGAAGAAGCTGTACCACACTCATGGCCTTGGCAGGTCAGTGTACAAATTTCAGATCAACATATCTGTGGAGGAGCAGTTCTTGCCAAAGAATGGGTTGTCACAGCTGCCCACTGCTTTAATTCTAAGTAAGTACACTGGGATGAAGCCTTCCCTGAGAACATCTGTAATTGAGAGGTGTGTCTCTGCAGCGTGGTGGTTCTGGCCAGGGTGGCTGACACGGTTTTGGTTACCACCTACTTGCATCTCACGCTGGCACAGGATTCTTTTGTTCCATGCACGTGTACTAGGATTAGAGTGGCTACTAAGGAAGTATCCTACTTCTATAGGCTTGGTTTTCATTCACATCAGTTTTCAGAAGAGAAGACAAGAAATTAAGGCCCTTGTCATCCATCACTTACTCTTAGGTAACTTCTTTGTGTTTGGGTCATTTACAGAGCATGTTTTCATCCAGGTGGAATCAACCTATCCAAAATAAAAAAAAAAAACAAACGCAAAATTCCTGAATTTGTGTAGATTTTGGAGGATGTACAGGAGGCTTTTGTGCACAGGGCTGATGCCATTCCCTTTTTAAGAACCTATCAATCTGTTAAGTCAGATTAAATGGAAATTTTTCTGTCTTTATTGAGAAGAGACAAAAGAATATTCTGCGTGACTTTTGGACTCTTCAAAATAGTTTCTAAAATGCAAATTGTTTATTCATCTCTTAGGCTGAGTGCTACTTGTTTTGACATTTAAATTGATCATGAGCACATTAAATTAAAATTCATATACACTGGGACATGAAAATATTTTTTAAAAGACCTCCCAGGATTGCTGATAATTAGGTATTCTGGTCCATTTTCAAATAAAGTTGCAATTACTTGAAAATGAGGGTAAACTTTCAAAAGCCCCCAATGCCAAAGATCCTTAGACATCTGTAGATCTATCATCTATATTACCCATTTCTTTGATTCTCTTCCCTACGCCCGCAAAACTAAGGATCTGAAATGCAAGTGCTGCTTCAGATTTTGGACTTCGGCTTCTAGATTTCTAAATAATAGTTTGCAAAAATTTTATGTCAAGGAGTATTGTTGCATTGTGTTGACTATACTGCTCTAAGAGCCATATTTAGGAGGAATTCTCTATTGTATATTGCCATCTCATCAGAATTTGTGTATGTGACTTAATTGACTCTACACAACTAATTTCATCAGGGATTTATGACAGGTTTTCAGGCAGTTGAGAGGGTTTGCTTAAAAAAACCAAAGGGTGAAATGAAATGTTTCTGTTGCAATTTTTTTATGTCATTTGATAGATAGTTTAGAGGTTTTAGATAGTTTGATAGATGTTTTAGAGGTCACCCATTTTTTCATTAAGAAGGTGGGGACCAGCACTGTCTCTGGATGATGAGGACCATGCAGACCTCGTGCTCTGCATCAGTCACCCTCATTCCTTATAAAAGTGACCTTTCTCTCAGTTTCCTCTGTGTTTGTGAGATCCTACTGCCTCATCATGGGGCTATTTCATGCTCCTTAGAAGACTATGGGAAGATTTCCAAAGATTTGTTTGAGACTAAGGGCCTCAGGAGCTGTTGGCCTAGGAGTATGTAGGGCCCTAGTATCTAGTATATTTTGGGTGGGGGAAGTTTTAAGATTCACAGGTTTCAAGAGTGCTGCTATACCAGCCTGAGAATGTACTTATTTTCTTTATCTTTTTTTTTTTAGGGAACTATACAGAGGCTTATGGATGGTGGTAACAGGGCTGCATGATCTTACAGAGCAAGAATACAGACAGGTGCTGTAAGACAGCTGCTATTGAGCAGCTATAAGTTCTGTTTAATAGTAAAATATAAATCAATCTTGCAAAATAGTTTTTAGTGTAAATACATCTTCCAAATTGTTCATGATGCAACAATCTAACAGCCCACGTGCTGACCTTAATCTGTGTTTACACAACACCTTTTGTGTCACTCTCAGAGAAATTGTGTCAACACAGACCTGTGCCTTCACCAGTAATGAGCTCCAAAGCTCAGCATTCTGGAGGAGGTGTGAGTGGGGAGTGTATTGCCTCTAAATTCCCCAGTGAGTATTACCAAGACAGAAATAATTGAGGCACAACTTTCCACTTTGCTCAGCCTGGACAAGTGTTCTTCCAAAACCCTCTTGCTGCACTCGCTAGATGGAGTTTTCTGCATGTTCCCTGATCCATGTCCCAGTGGCATAATTTTGACTTGTTAATATAAGAAACCTGCTAACTGTAGTAGCTGCTTTTAATGCTTCCTCCTCTTAAAGCATCTTTCATACAGCCTGAAAATTTGTAAAACAAAAATTACTTAAAGACTTAAATTCCCTTGTCCTTCAGAAAATGTCGATGTCTTTGCTTTCCTAGAAAAGGTCAGTAAAGCAGTATATTATACATCCAAGATTTAACAAGACCACTATGGACTCTGATATTGCCTTACTGCAACTGGCTGAGCCTTTAGAATTCAACCACTATGTGCGCCCAGTGTGCCTCCCTGCCCAGGAGGAGATGGTCCAGCCCTCAAGGGTGTGTGTCGTCACGGGATGGGGTGCCCATGAAGAAGGTATGTGGTCTTCACCATTTTGAAGGTAGAGCATGATGTAGCCGTGTCTTAAATACTGTATTCTATGTTGTAACATTCATTCTGTCTATATGTTAGTTTCTGGGGAACAGGCGTGTTAAACAGTTTTCACTTTTCTAAGCTCAGCTAGACATGCAGGGAGATGGGTGGGAGGAAAGAAATCAGATAGTTTAGATTGAGACCATTTGAAAAGGGGAAGAGTAAAGCTTCTTTCTGGAATCACTAATTAATGCCTCTACTGGTTTCTGAGATGTCTTTTACTTCAAGACAGAGAAAAGGGGAAAAAACTGCATCAGCTTGAAGTCCCCATCCTGGTGCTTGACACATGCCAGAGCTATTACATAAATCTTCCCAGTAGAGTGACCCAGCAGATGCTCTGTGCTGGATTTCCTCTGGAAGAAGGCAAGGACTCATGCACAGTAAGTTGAGCACATCACCTTTGCCTTCTGACACTTGGGGTATGGCCAGATGGGTTCTGAAAAGGGGAGTGTTAAAACCTCACTAAGAGCTGTTTTCTTGCAAACAGGCTGCAAGTGGTTTACTGTGAAAGACTTCTTAATAGTAGGATTTTAATTACTTGTGTTACAAAAAGGGATGCTTCCCTTGAACAAAGGTTATTTCTGTCTCTGCCTTTTAAAAACAGAAACCTCCAAATGCATGAGCAGCTGGGACCTCTTCTAGCTGAACTGGTATTTTAAAAACATAAGGAGAGATGTCAGCTAATAACAAGATTCCTTTGTCCTTGTGCAGGGTGATTCTGGTGGCCCATTAGTTTGTCCTTCAGAAGATAACTTGGGTTTTTACACCCTTCATGGAATCACTAGCTGGGGCTTGGGATGCGGAAGGAAGAGCTACCCAGGAGTATACACAAATGTTGGTGCTTTTGTTGACTGGATCAAGCAGAGTATTAATAGTAGTGGTATGTATGTAGAAAACAATTAAATGAATCCTCTTTGTGATTGCTAGATGCTTAATTTGAGGTCTTCTTCTAGGGTGCCATTTTTATATTTGGGTGTCCAGCACTTCTTGCAATCCTGGCTGTTTAAAATACTCGTAGCTGAATGCCCAGAAACTGACAAATCTAAATCAGTAGTCACTTCAGAAAATCTTATTTCTTCTGGATGTGCTATTATTCCCTTCTCTATTGCATTTTTCATGTTGATGAGTGTGTTTTCCTTACTGCTGCTTTGCTGCTTCATTTCTCAGGGTTGGGAGGAGGTAGGGAGGCATGAATTGACACATGATGACAGCTGAGTCCACTTCAACAAGTTTACAGCCTGCCTTTGTTGATGATCTTTGCAAAGTTTACCCTGTTTTATTTTTCTTGTTTTTGTAGATCTCCCCATTTTCATGGTGTGACCATCAAAAGAGCAGTTCTGATGGACCACATTGTAAAACGCTTCCAAAGAACAAATCTCATTGAAAACAAAATTTGGTGAGAGAGTGTTAGTTCATGATTGGTGACCAGATTCCAAAGTAGCTGATACTTATCCTGGTGAATTTACACCTGATTTACCTGAATTGAGACTTTGGCTTTACACATGTGCTTGGAACAGATTAATTGCAGGCTTCAGACATTTTATTAATTTAGAAGGAAAGAGAGGGAAAATAATCCACCATAAACCAAGTGTATACTTGAATGTAGTACTGGAGAACATAAAAATACTGCAGAAATTAGATGAAATAAGTGCCTGTGTAAAACAACTGAAGGGCCAGTCAGTCATCCTTCCATAAAGATCAATGAAAATATTGTCTCTGGTAGTGTGAGGACCTAGGCAGGGGCAGGAGTAGTGCTTAAGGAGCAGAACGTTGTCTAGTCATTAGTGATATGAATCCATCCAGTTGCTGGGAAAAGGGTACTTATAATACAGTTCCTGTTTTAACAAATTGCATGTTGTTTAAACAGAAGTGTTTAAAAAGACACGTGTTACAGGCCAAGGGCCTTGTCACCATGCAAGAACTGACAGCTGTCCTAATTAATCTATACATATAATTAAATAGGTAATGTGTAATCCACACGCTGCAAACTGAGCACATTTACTTGTAAATAGCAGATAGGTTTATGTCAAAATGGCTGCTTACCCAAGAGATGGTGATGACAGGCTCCTGTTAGCTTGGCAGACTCTTCTGTGCACAGTCTCAGTGTTAGAAGCTAGATCAGTGTGATAGTACAATAGGTAACACAAGTATAATCCTTCTTTGACTAAATGGTCTGGAAAAAAAACTACAAAAGAAGTAAGAGATCTCTTTTTCTTTTATGATATTAATGGCAAAACTCTTGAGAGACATGTTTCCCATATATGCATCGGTGCCAGTAACTAAACTTTTTTGAAGACATTAGTTTAGAACTTCTTATTTTAAAGAGACAATTTTATTCTGTTGCTGGGGAAAAAAAAATAAATCTGTCTACCTTTATTCCCAAATGAATACTGTAAACATTTTTGACCAGTTTCTTCTCTTCACTGTAAAGTTTCAAGCAAAAGCCCACAAAATAATGTGGAGCATGAACTTCCTGTGAAACTATGAGAATACTTTATGGTGGAAGGACTATGGACAAATTCAGATTATGCTTGTTCTATCTTTGACAAGCTCTTTGAAGAGGTCTTTGGAGAGAAATGGAGGGAAAATATACTTTGCAATTTTTCATTATGGAAGTCTGAACTTGCTATTAGCTAACTATTTCGGGTTAAATATGCTGGGAGCAGATGTGTCTAATTGCTTGGATGCTATTCCGTTTTGCTTAACAGGAACAAGATGAGTTAAAATACCTGTAAAGTTTTTATCTGCCTATTAATCTCATAGAAGGATATCAAGTGGATGTGTTCAGAAAGATTAAAAGGTTGGGGGAGAACTACTGGTATCAGCTGTGCTAGCCCTATTGAATGCCATGGTTATATGCCAATAAATTTATAGTGCTTTAAAAATTCCTTTCATATAGTAGGAATGCTTTCTTCAGTTATTTGTATTTGACTTGATTTTTGCTTAACTGCATGATGCTGACCTTTTGTATTTCTTCTAGTATGGTTTTACAAGTAGTCTAGTTTTGCTTTTGGTGTATTTTTTTATTCTATTGTAAGCTGACAGTATCTTTTAGCAGTAATGTGAACTGGTTTGTGATGCAAATGAAATCGGATTTTAAAAAAAATAAAAATTTACTTTCAATGGCATTCATGCAATGGAATTAGTTTTTAAAAAATTTATATTAAGTCCACTTTAAATTTTAACAGTTATTATGAGGCTTTCCTGAACGCTACAATCAAAAGGTAGGATAGTAGTAGCCTGCCTGATTACTGAGGCAGGCTCAGGTTCCCTGCGTGCTTAAAATCTGGATATAAACCTTCTTCTGCTGGCATGTAAGTAAAAATATCTTCTTTGTAACATTATATGGAAGCAAATGAAGTTGAAATTGCATTGTTCATTGGCACTGTGCTAAATATTTAGAATAAATATCTATGTCCAAAAGTATCTTGTTCTGACCTTCGGTTAATATGAGTATCTTTGACTGTAAGTCTTCCTTCTCAGCTCTGTGTGTGCACATGGACATGCATTCTGGGAGTCCAACCACATTGCCAATGATGCACCTAGATAGCCTTTTCAGGAGTGGTTATTAGAGCATTTTTGTAGCTTTTGTTGGAAAGGGGAGATCTTAATCAGAAAATATAAAGTATATAGCCATTGTTAAATCGTATCTGGCAATAGTATGGAGAAGGAAGCAACTGTGGTCTAAATCTGGGTTCTGGCTATATAGCCTGACAAAAGATGTTAAAAAATTGTTGATCTCTTACTGTGGCATAATGTCTGTAAATTCTTGCTTCATAATTCTTTTACTTTGCCACCTCCTCCTGTTCTAGCTTAGGACAGCATGATGGCTTACTGCGTTGTACTGTTCTTGGTTGCTTGCGCTCCCATAACCTCCTGGATGAAGCCAGAGGAGCAACAGCACAGCAGCACCATATCCTTCCTTAGATGTATTCTGCCTGGAGGTATGCATGCCATGTATTTCCTGACTCTCTCCAGAGGGGGTCTGCCCAAAAAAATCTGACAATCATAGTATTTAGGTAGTACTGTGGAACCATATTCTCATGTGGTCTTCTCAGTTTTCTTCTCTTTTTCCCTAGCCTTTTTTACTTTGTACTTTTTGAGGATAAGTGGCACAAGGGCAGGTTTTTTTTCTCATTTAGGAATCCATTTACTGTCATGTTTTGGATGCACAGAAAGACTGTTACTTCTTCATCTGAAGGCTTTTTGCCTTCAAAGATGCTTTGAAAGCATCTTTGCATCCTTTCAAAAGAGTGAATTGAGAAGTAATGCCAAAGAAACTGTGGCTGTTATAGCTGTGTAAGACAAGTTAACAAGAGGAAAGAATTAGGCTTGGTACTTTGGGGGAAAAAAAAAAAAAAAGTTCTGCATAGACCAAACCCCTGCCTTTGGCTCAAAAGAAAAGAAAATAATCAGCAAAAATTGAAGGAGAATTACAGAAAAGAAGAAATATGCCTAAATGTTTCTCAAGCTCTACAAAACCCCTTACTTGCCTTTCTCTTACTAAAGGCAAGGAAGAGTCTTATTCTTGAAGGAAATTAATGCTTTCTATCAAGAGTGCAATTCAGAGAACCACTGGTAATTGCACAGCTGTGCAATTATTACTCATAGTAGACAGAAAATCCTGTCTTGAAAATTAAAAAAATAATAAAAAAATGCCATTTATCCTTTACTTGTTCCTTTTTATCCTTCAGGATAAATTCTGAGAGAGCTCATTTTTTCTTGTCTCTATTAATTTTTGTTCTGCTTCATTCTCCTTGAGTTTCGAGCCTTTTGCCACAAGGATATACAGTAGATCGTGGATGAAAGCAAAATACACAGAAGTTGCAAGCTGTACCATTGCCATATTGTCAGAAAATAAGAAATCATAGCATCTCAGTGGGAGAATCTAGCTGCTTTAATCATGGAGAATGGGTCATTCAGCCTGGAGATCCTGGGCTTGGTTACAATACTTGTGAGGATAGTGGCTCTGTGTGGCACTGATGCAAGGAGTTAATTCACTTCAGGAACAGAGCTGGAATATATAGCTCTGAGCCTCTCTCTGTTTTCAGCAGCTTGCATAATAGAGTGTTGAGTTATATTTTGGTAGTGGTTTTGAAATCAGGAGAGGAAAGCTAACGTTAACAAAAAATTTAAAAAGATTGTGGTGGGGTATTCCACTCTGGTCTTCCATAGTCAGTACTTCTATAGCACAGGAGGCTGAATGTATTTTTCTTTCAGTCTTTTTACAAGTCACATAAAATAGCAGCATTCCAAAAACTAATAAATCAGATTTACTGTCTTCTCTTTTCACTGTCTACAGCTTGGCACACTGACATTATTCCTGGCATTCCTTCCTTCCCCATAGGTTTGATCAGTTTATTTTCTTCCTCCTGACAAAGATGTGTGTCTGTGTGATATGGTCATGCTTTTATTTTAGATAAATTATTTTGAACCTTGTGGCATGGGCTTAGACTTCAGAGACTTGTATTTTCTTTTAATTGATTTTTGTGTGTGTCCCAAACTGTGTGCTCCTGTCCTACACTCTGTAGAGAGAATATTGATGCTTAGTCTCTTTTGTGGTTTTGGTTTTTTGTTTTAAAGCAGTTTAAAGCAAATTAAAGTCCACAGATACTAAATACTTTGTTAGTGATGCTTGTCACAAAGTAAAATTCTGGCCCAGGGGATAAGGCAGAAATTAGGAAACAATTTCCGATCCCCCAGTCACACTAGCTGAAGTTCAGCTTTCCTGCCTTAATTGTTTGTTTGCCAGTATTTTGCAACACAGACTGTGGACTGTACACGGTGTCTGCAGAGAAAGTCACAAACCCAAGCAATGAGCGGTGCCTCTTGCCGGAGGCACTGACGCTGTAACGCAGCCCGTACCTGAAACACTGCTGCAGCCGCCGTGGCCTTTCATTAGGGTTGTACCAATGGCAGGCTTGAGGATGTTTGTGTGTGAGAATGAAAGATGATGGATGTCTTTACCTGTGAAACTTGTATTGTTAGCTTGTCAGGTTGCATGCTAGTTCTGCCTAGAGGACTTGAACTTCCCTGTTTTGCAGGACAGACTGGACGAACTCGGGCTGGACCAGAACTGCCGCAGCACTGTTCTCTGTTGCTGAACATAAAGGCAATGAAAATTGAGCTGGGAAGAGTACAGGGGAGGAAAAACGACCATAGCCAGTGAGTGTCCACCCTGGGTAACTGGGGTTTGTGGCTGTTTCTGCCCCACTGTGTTGTGTACAGTGAGCCTGGTAGCAGGACCTCCTTCCCAAAGTGGTCCCACGGTCCTCTCCCTCAGCAACATCTGCGCGCGGGACAGGTGAACTAGCTGATAAGCCACTAAGTATTCCCAAAGATGCCTTTAGCTTTACGGAAACAAACGCTTCGGACGGGAACTCCTCTCCGAGGGGTGGCAGAGGCGCTGGGTCCCCGCAGGGTGTTACACCCCATGTGCAGCGGTTGTCCCGGGCCCGGCCCCCGCCCTGCCCCACGGCCCCCCGAGGCGTGCCCGGCGGCGGGAGGCGGGACTCCGCGGGGCCGGGACGGGCAGAGGGCGCAGGTTGGAGCAGTGTCTGGGGAGCGGTAGGCGGCCGCCATGGAGGCGCTTGTGGTGAGAAGCCGGGCGGGAGGAGGGCCGGGTGCGAGCGTGGCGGGCTGTTCGCCTCACCGCCTTGTTCTTCTCCTCCTCACAGGATGCCCCTGTGGCTGTCGCCGTCGCCGTGGTAGCTGCGTCTGCCCTGCTGCTGCTGCTGCTCAGGCGGACGGGGCGGGGGGCCAGCGGCCCCGTCACCTTGCAGGACCCGCTGGTGAAGTACCCGCTGCGGCTGGTGGACAAAGAGGTGACCGAGCGCACCCCCTCCCTTCTCTCGGCTCTTCGGGGGTAGCGCGGCCGTTTGCTGCCTGCCGGGCGGGCGGGCGGGGACGGTTGTTCTGTTGGCCCGGGGCGGGTGTGTCGCCTGAGGGGCG